CACTATGTTCACATACGCTCTTTTTAATTATATTAAGACAAAATATAGTCATTTTTTGGAGAAAATTTTTTGTTTCTCTTTCTGTGTTCCTTTATAGTTGACTTATTGTTTATTACAGTTAAGAATAACTATTTTTATAACCTTACAAAAACAAATGGTTAATTATCAGTAAGTGAAAACGATAACTAACCAGAGCGCATTTCCGGTGATGTAACAAAAGTAACAATCTACAAGGTAAGGAGTACCCAATTTGTGAAAGAATGTTATATTACTAAAAAGTCTTGTATTACGCAACTTCGTTTTTTAATTTTTTGTTAAAGTAAAAATATACAGTACGATGTCGGAAAAAATTGACAATAAATGGGAAATTTATTATTATTTTACAAATAATCAAAAATCCAATTTGTAAAATATTTAGTGGTAATACAGGAGGAAAAATAAAAAAATATTAATTTATTCTGAAGAACAAAGTGTTTTTAAAATTAATTATCGAACAAAATGTCAGTTAAAAATGTAAATAGGAATAAAAAATTATATCTAAGTTTATATTCATGGTCTTCCAATTAATTAATACATTTGGAGTTAAAAATAGAGTTTAATTTTCCCTGTATTCCACTAAATATTTTACAAATTTGATGCAAGTCTTTTTATGAACAATATTTTTTTTTTGTAAAATTGATAATATATAAATTTCCCATTTGTTGTCAACTTTTTCAAACACATTGTACAAGTGTAGGTAGGCAAAGGTTAAATCTGCCTCTGCAGATGCTTTTCTAACATTTGATCCACTTATTACAGCAAAAAATCGCAAAATTTCCATATTCATAAAGATTTTGTTAAATAAATAAGAAAAACTAAATTATATTTCAAAGTGGCTCTAGATATGTACATATTTATACGTATAAAAATTGAAAATAAAATATATATGTGGGGTAGGTAATAAGTACCAAAAGTTTGCATGGCTATAATGTTATTATTTCGTATTACTTAGAAAAAAATTGCCTCCTAAAGTTGGCGATTAAGGTGAAAAATTGAACATGTGGCTACGTTTCATATTTTTTTCTTAGAATTTTATGTTGACAAATATATATTTATACAATAAAAAAAAACAAACACCTAGATTAAGTAAGTCGATTATTAAATAATTCAACCTTCAAAGGAAGTAAAAAAAAATTACAAAATTATGCCGGCAAATTTCATTCTGCGAATTTGAAATGTTAATTATTAATTTATTTAAGTCTGTCTGGCGTATATTGTAGTTAGCACATAATGCAAAGGCGTAAAGATTTGAATTGATAAATTAAATTTGTATGTAAGCGACCTAACAGAGTAATTAATTATAAATCCATCTAATAATGTACCCATTAGTTATTCTCGAATCTTGTGAAAGGGGGTGAGTGGCTTCGCGAAACGGGTTAATTTTTAAAAAAAGTATTGTACTACAGAAAACAAATACTTCGCTATAACTAGACAAGCATGGGGTGTCAAGACTCCGTACTCTATAGGTGGTGCGAACAAGAAGATGAGATTATCGAGCATATCCACCTACGATTGCCAACATCCAACATCTAATAGATTTGTGTTCGGCAAGTATTGGCTAACACCTGCTAATATAAGAAAAGCACCTCTTGGCGACGTTGTCAAATACATTAAATATGTAGATTTAGACTGCTAACAACAGTCAACAAGTGACTTGAAGGTTATCTAAATACAAATTCCTTCGATTTTGAGAAACAAATAATGTTGCGAAAAAGAGGAAGAATTTTCAATAATCAGTAATTATACGAGTTCTATATGTACAGATTATTCATCAGGAATCAAGTTTAGATTAGGGATGCGCATCGCAAGAAAAACATCATGTTCACATTGATGTTGGACATCGATGTCACAAAAATATCGAGTCTAAAATGACATTTTTGCATTAACAATGTCATTTTAATCTTCGCTTATTAATTTAAGGCTATAAAGTAGATAATATTTTGACCGTATTTAGAAATCAGTAGTACCTATAATTTTGAATACCTACAATTTTGAAAATTATATAATGTAATAATGCAAAAACAAAACATTGAACATTTATTTAATATTACTTAATTATCAAAACATCAAAAATTTTAAAAATAGCAAGAATTTTTATCCAAATTTTGAAGAAAAAGAAATTCAGATATTTTTTCCTTTAGGCCGATATTTCTCTGTTCGGTTAGAGTCTGCCCTGCTTTAGAAAATAGTCGCTCTGTAGGTACTGAAATGCCTACTATCGTTAAGTATTGTTCCACTTATCTAAAAAATTTAATGAAGCATTAAATACGACACCCTATAGGCATATAATTTTCGATATCTTAAATATATCAAATAATGGATGTACATTGGATATGTTAAACATCTATAGGATATATTCATTGGTTACTTATGAACCTCTACTAAAGGTACCTATTAGATATTTTGCTGGATATCCATAGGATATCTTCTATACTGTACTGCATAATCTAAAAACATTCCACATGAAGAAAATCAGCATTTCAGTAGCATAACATCAGAACTCCCTGTGTTTTTAATTTGGTATATACACATATACAAAGTTTACTATTCTAGTGTTAACTATTTTTGATGCTACACAGCATAGGTATAGCATGTAGAGTAGAAAGAGGATCAACATTTTATTTTTACAATTAAATATACACCATACCTAAAAAAACCACCAAAATATCATTGAATATGTGAAGTAAGTTTTAAACTGAATACAACGCACGAGTTATCTAACATATAAGCATCTTACAAATAAATCTTATTCTTTATTGTTGTTATATTGAGTATAGTTAGGTAAGTAAAACAAAGACAAATATTATAAGCAGGCTAAATATATTTAAAAAAAGTAAACTATAGTATAAACGTATACTATTTATTATACTAAATAACATATTACATTTAAGCTAACGAATTAACATAGTACCCGGAGCCAAGGAAAACCTAAACCTAATGACACATACACATACATTATATTGGCGCCGCAATTTCAACTGGAATTTTCTTTCTGAAAAAAAAAGACGCTCTGTTGTAGAATTCTTCAAAAAGTGAAACTATATTTTAACAAAACGAAAATGAAGTCTGAAAAAAGCCTTTTGTACAGAGTGTCACTTATACAATATATAATTTAAAAGGGCTGGATCTGTGTATATATTATACTTATTTATCTAAAATCTAAACTGTTGGTCCAGCTAAACATTACCTAACCTTACTTGTTAAATTCTTCATGCATGCTATTGAATACAAGGCAGATGTAATAAGATTACCTCAACCAGTGAAAAAAATACTTCTTTCTAATTAATTATAACAACCATTAAACAATAAAAACCAAACCGAATCACCAACAATAATAATCACACGAAATAAGTAGGTATATGAAGGTAGGTAATAGTGGGAAGAGTTTCATTCCTGTCGTGAGATTAGTTAGATCACCGAGACGCGAAGCGTCGAGGTTAGCTATGATCTCGAGACAGGAATGAAACTTCCTACCGAGGTTTGTATACTATTTTATTTACAGCCATCATATTTCGAACAAAGTTAATAAATCTCTGTTTTGTTCTGAACATACCTAAAATATTACATTTAACGACAAATTACCAAGCGCGCGGTTTTCTCAGAATAATCAAATAATCAAACAATAATAATCACACGAAATGAAGGTAGGTAAAGTAACATCCATTTTAATTATAATAAAAAGGGTTATCGTAAAAACGACATGAATTTCTAGTTGTAAATTACCTAAAAAGGACAAGGATTTTAACGTACATTGCATACAACCTACTTAACAATCCTAATAACGTGAATTTAACCATTGTATTATTTAACTAAAGACTATCAACCTTTTACACTAATAAATTTAGATTTTAAAGCTTACTTACCTCCTTTTAATCCAAAATTATCATCATGCACACGACACTAACAAAACGAAAACAAACTATAAAATGGCCGATGGCACCTGTGAGGGCAGAAAATATCCGCGCTTACGCTCGCGTTCATTGCCAATATTATTTATCTAGCGGATATCTGTGGGATATTGTATACAACTTTCTAATTTTAAATTTCTATAAACCATACCTACATACTTTCTTAGTTATCACATGGCGTAATATTTAAGTAATTTAATAATGATTAAATCAATTCACATATTTTCCGATATTTAGGTATACATTATATCCATAAATTGCATCTAGTGGATATCCACCATGGCATGCGTTCGCGCCTAGACTTTGATATATTTAGTGGATATCCATGGGATATTGAATACACCTTAAAAAATATTAATGTTAAATATCTTAACGGTACTATTAGCCACAATGGCGTAATTTTTTAATAATTTGTTTTATACTTACTATTATTTATGGACATTTGCAAGTCTATAAATTACATCTTATGGATATAAAATAGATATCCACTATGGACTGGACATTCAGTGGATATTGGGATGTCCTGTAGATATCCAAAGGATTTGGTGTGCTGTCTGGGTTAAGAACAATAGAACAATTTTATTGTATTTTTCACTATGACCTTCTTTCAGGAGTCTATAACTCAGTAATTAAGACTTCCACAAACAAATACTAGGGCATAAAATAAATGTAGGATTTCAGTGACGTCCTGTTTTTACTGAATTTCATTATCTAAAAAAGTAGGGGGTCAAAGGGTGCAGAATCCTTGTAAAACTCTATAACATGAGAACAATTTTAAATACCACTGACTCTATTTTATTAGTAGCATATACCAAGACTTTCATAAAAATATGTTAAACCGTTTTAGAGTAAGAGTGCAAAATCACTTCTAAAAGTTTAACTTTAACACCCTGTAACTTTTTTTTCTCTTTTATAGAAACTATAGTTAAATTTATTGTAGGTACATCTTTTTGTTACACCCTGTGTATAACTATTAGAATAATGTTAATGTACCTATGTAAATTTTGTTTTTCATTATTATCGCCAATGAAACCAATTGAAAACAAATACCAATACAAAAGCGCAACATCAGTACTATTTTTTTACTGCAATTTATTGTGTGTCTATAGGCGCAAAAATAGTAAATTCTGCTCTGAAAATACACATGAAATATAAAAAATTCAAATATATTAATATTATGTCAAAACGAAACTTATTATTAAATTAATGAACTAAAAGTGTGGAGAAAAACATAAATATTTTTTATTGTTTGTACTAACAAATAAATTATTTTTTTAAGAGATCTATCTAATACATACACCCTTCTGGCAAATATCCGTGAACGATGTCGGCTGTGCCAAGATAAAGTAAGAGCTTGATAAACTTTAATATCGTGGGTCACGGTACTGACAATTGATCAGAGATTTTTTTCAATGCAATCCGGCAACATCGGTTCGGTTCATGCTTACAAAACTTATGAAACTGGAAACTGCAATTTCAAATGTTCGCGCTTAGCTCTGTGGTATAGGTGAATAGTGATAAATAGTGAAAAAATAGTGACTAAAAGGGAAAGTAACTTAAAAAAAACTATAAACAAAAACTGTAATTCCCGAATGTTAAAAAATGGACGGGGCTCATGATTTGGATTCTCTAATGGGTCTTTTAGGTAAGGTACATGTCTTTTAACTAGGGTTGTAAGTGAAATATCGGAAAATATCGTAAAAAAAAATTTGTACAAGTATTTGTCTGTGAAGAAAGTAGATTTTTTTATACATTTTTGTTTTTTTTTTTTTTTATTAATATCTATAACCATTTATTTTACACCAAAAATATGGAATAATTTGTTTTATTATAAATATGTTAACTCATTAAAAATTATAACCATATTAAAGAAAAGTTGATATTTAAAAACCTCAGATGTCGGATCTCAAGATTGACTTCTTAAGATGAAAAGTAGGTCAAAGCAAAATAATTATTTTACTATATTCTTTTGTCTATTACACTGCAAGAAATAAGGCTACGGTTAGATCATTTAGGTATACTGGGTGCTTTAACATTTCAACATATACGAAATGTTCACTTTTTATCTTAATTAAATTAGATCTATTAGAAACAATATTAGATTGCAATTTAATTTTTAATAATTATGGACAGGTCATTAAGCAAAAAAAAAGATTTCGTTGTTTGAAATAATATTATTTTTATGGACCAATTATTATTAACGACTAAACATAAAGAAAAAGTTTATGAGTGAAATAAATAAAAACTAAATGTATAAAATGTGTTGCCAAATAAATAACGAACCAAAAAGCTAGGCCATACGACATATAGATAATCGGGACAAGATGCTAAAAATGGATTCAACACGTGTATTTGTTTATCTATATATGTTCGTATGTAATCTGAATCACACTTTATAGTTTATCTACTATGAATTGAATATTTTAATAAAAATCTTATCGCCCAATTTATAGTGGTTTTGTCAAGAAATAAATGGAAATCCGAATAAAATTAATAATGAAACCCAAATTAATTTAGAGCTAACATTAACAATGAAAAATTTTGTATTTTTATTTAAAAAATTATTTTTGAAAACGGTTTATTAAGTCAGCATCAGTGCTAATCTACAATAAAATTGTAACTGAGTAAATAAATGTGATAAAAATTAAATAAAATTGAATAAAAGAGTGATTTATGTTGGAAATACCGTTTATTATAGCTAGAATCCTTGACAATTTAATTTCTTATTTTGAATTTGAAAATTATTGAATGGAAGATTAAATAATGGTTTTTAATAACTCCTTTTCATACGTATTAAGGTTTCAAAAGTTATCCATGAAGAAAATAATTTATCTAAAAACCTAGAAACATAAATTACAATTAATATAAAAATAAAATTAATAACAAAAATATACGCTAAACAATTTTTGGATTACTATGAAGAATTTTTCTGGAAGAAATAAAAAGTATCAGGGGAGTTTAATAAATTCTTAGTAAATCCTTTGGAAATGTAAATAATAGAAAAAAATTATTTATTTCTACAACTTTAAAGCGAAAATCTTAATAACAAAGAATTCTTTAAAAAAATAGAAAAGTCAGTATGTTTTTTCATAGCATTGCAATAGGAGTTTTTAAGAAACGTCTGCTATTCTACGATAGCAAAACCCACATGCCAAATGAGTACATTTTTAGATCAAATAATGTTTCTTCAGCATATAAAACTGCAGTGGTTACAATTTTTATTCATCGTCCCCATCTTGTTTTTTTGCTTTCTCGTACAATCTTAAGGTTACAATTTAACAAATTTCGGTATTTCTTCGAGCAGATCAAGGAAGAGAGGTAATTACCCAAAAAACTTGAGCAATAATAAAAATGTCCAAGCATTGAGAAATTTGTTATACTATAAATTCAATTAAAAGTACATTTATTCATTTTTTATTTTATATGTGATTGTGCCATCCAAATCGCACGTTAAAAGATAAAGGTATCTTCAAAAGTTAACTTTTATACACTCACCGACTTAAAATTCGATCCATTCAAAATAATGATTTATTTAAAAATGCTCTTTCAAATGCGAAGGCTGATTTATTTGAAGTTTTTAGCAACTTTTAGATAAAATACTGTAGTTTTAACATTATTATCCGGATATCTAAAAGTAATTTAGTACTCCCTGGATATACAGGGGGGAAAAGAAAACAATTTTTTCTCTACTTTTGACACACCCTGTAGGTTAATTCTGCTAGTAGACCTGCACACAATTAACTTCATTAAGAAGACTGATTTGTTTACAACATTTTGTTTTTTTATTTACCCCGATATCTTAATTTGTTTGTGAAATGCGACGGTTTAAAGAAAATGAAACATTCTTAATTTTTTATTCAGTTTTAGCAGAGTAATACATAATTTTATAAACAAATCAAACAACAAATAAACTAATAATTATTACAAATTAATAACGGGTATTTCCCCCACGAGCGCGAATAACTGCCTCAATGCGTCGTGGCATACCCTCTATTAGATGACGAATCTCCATCTGGTCAATCTGATCCCATTCTTAGACCAAAGTATCTCTCAAAACATTTAAATTACTTAGAGAAGGAACTCGGTTATAAACTCGTCTACCCATCATGTCCCAGACGTGCTCAATTGGATTGACGTCTGGGCTACGTGATAGCCAGTTCATCCTTTGAATTTCTGTTTCGTCCAAATATTGAGATAAAATCCTCGCAATATGTGGTCGAGCGTTGTCATGCATAAACATGAATTATTTTCCTATAAACGGTGCAAATGGAATTACATGTGGATCTAGCACATCACGAATATATCGGTTAGCTGTCATTGCTCCGCTGCTAACAATGACTAAATCAGTACGAGCTTCCATGCTTATGCCGGCCCAAACCATTACCGATCCTCCTCCATAACTGAGTCTTGTGGAAAATTTGCTTGGTCAAACCTTTCGCCTCTTCTTCGTTATATTCTTTCACGGCCATCAGGAGAACGTAAACAAAACCTTGACTCGTCAAAAAATAAAATCTTACTCCAGTCATCGACTTTTCTATGTTGATGCTCCCTGGCAAATCGAAGACGTGCTGTTCTGTAATTCCTAAGTAACTCCGGACCAGTTGCAGGTCTTCTGGAGCGTAATCCATGTTCTCGTAATCGCCTTCGAATCGTTATTTAGTTAACAGCTACTTGACTTACATCTTCTAAACTTCGAGCCATGACAGCAGTAGTAATTCTTCCTCGCAAAACATTTAATGTTACAAAACGATCATCTCGAACATTTGTAGAACGTCGTCTGCCAGATCCTCTTCATCTCGAAAAACTACCAGTTTCATTGAAACGTTGTACAGCTCTCTGGACGCTACACCTTGTAACACCCAATATTGTAGAAGCATAATACTGAGACCTACCGTCTTGTACCAGAGCAACTCCTCGTGCTGCATTAGTAGGCGTTAAAACCATGATATGCTGATAATGAATATTTGTTGTGCTGATAATTAAACTGCAATTGCCAAATAACAAATATTTGACAGTTGTCATATTGTGAGTTGGCCACAGCATTCTACTTATTTTGTAGTTTATTCTCTACCTTCATTTAAATTATGACCTTTTCTAAAATGTAGCATTTTCTTTAAACCATCACATTTCACAAACAAATTAAGATATCGGGGAAAATAAATAAAAAACAAAGTGTTGGAAACAAATCAGTCTTCTTGATAAAGTTAATTGTTTGCAGATCTACTAGCAGAATTAATCTACAGGATGTGTCAAAAGTAGAGGAAAAAATTTTTTTCTCTTCTCCCCTGTATAATCGGGGAGTACTAAATTACTTTTAGATGTCCGAATAATAATCTTAAAACTACAGTATTTTATCTAAAGGTTGCTAAAAACTTCAAATAAATCAGCCTCCGCATTTGAAAGTTAGAGCATTTTTAAATAAATCATTATTTTGAATGGATTGAATTTTAAGTCGGTGTGTATTATTTTTGATAAAATAATTATGTATTATTATTTTTTTTTAATTTGATGTCATCGGCATCAACTACTTAGGTTATTAATCTCGTGTTCTGTGTAGGCTTTGGGACTGTTTCCCAGCGACACTTTAGGAACATCAGTGTTAATTAGAACCCAACATTGAATGGTCGAGTGGGGAATCCTACCTGTCAAATTTGGCAATGAATTATAAAGAGCCAAAACTGCAAAAAAAAAAATATTTCAAATTTGACACCTTTTATTTATTTTCTAAATTTAATTAAACCAATTTAAATCAGATCGTAATATTTCGAAGCCAAGATTCTACCACTGCGTTATAGGCCATTAATTACGGACCACTCTGAATTATTTCTTAATATGGTGTATATCGCTACTAGCAAACTAACCCTAAACAAAATAATAACGCGCCACGGTAATACCGCCAATTAAAAAAATATTAAAATAATTTTTGTATTAAATTAAAATTCATATTTATCGTGTACCTACGTAAAAAATTAAAGTTATCTGCCACAAGAAAAATGTCTTTTTGTCGCGTAAGCTCTGAAAATATCACTACTTTGGAGCAATGACAGATTTCAGCAATAATTTGCTACTCTGTCTCGCATCGCGATCTGTGCTAGCATATTTTATAACGCATGGTGTTATCCTTCTATATTTTCCAAAGTATTTTGAGAGACCGCGAGCGATCGAGACTAGCACAGCCCGCGATGCGAAGGAACCGCAATTGCCTAATACGTTTTCACCTAACACATTCCTTTATATTATTTTACTGATTATTATTGGATTGTACTAAAGATTTCATTTTGGGAATATTATGATTTTAAAAATAATATGTAATAAATTCCCACCCAGTAAAACTATAAAAAATGGCCCAGTACTTACCTGATTTTTTTGTAATAAATGATTTAGTTATTTTAAATTTTATACCTACTACAACCGGCTGTTCCCGTAGGTAGGATTTTGTAAAGTTCAATAAACTCTGAATTTATACTCTTTAGCAATTTTAATATTATTATTTTTAAGAATAGACGAGATAGAATCTTTACGTTGAATATTTTTAAATTTAATCGCTTTTTCTTTGTGATATATATTTTTAGATCATCCTATAAAGTTTCCTGAATGGCATTTATCGTGACTTCATAGAAATAATCTGGTATAAAAGAAGCATTT